GGCCTCCAAATCCCTGGCACAGCCCCACGTTCAGCACTGGGCTGAACTTCCTGAGAACAATTGTCTGCCTCTGCCAGGAGAACAGTTCTCCTCTATCCCATAGTATTCGAGCTAACCAAATGCTCCAGAGGCAGCCTGCCTGAGCCTGAGGCCAACGTGCGCTCTTTCTGCCCGTTGTGTTCAGCATCATGGAGGGCACTGGCAGAGGAGGCTTGGACCAGCTCCACAGTGTTCCCAGGGAGCACAGTTCTCTTATACTCTTTGTACCCACTACAGAATAAGCCGCTTGGCTCAGAAGGTCTTTGCCAGATGGCATCTTGGGTCAGCCTCACCTTAGCTCTGGCCTACTGCTTTCCCTGATGTTTGGTATAAGAATTTTGCCTCCTTCATTGTAACTCTGCTGGTTGGAAAAAATATAGCGGGGACTGGGGATGTGGCTCAAGTGGTAACGTGCTTACCTGGCATGGTGAGGAACTGGGTTTGATCCTCACTCAGCACCACATAAAATAAAATAAAGATATTGTGTCCACCTAGAACTAAAATATATATATATATAAAATCTCGGGAACCATGGCGCAGGACCTGTCATCCCAGCAACTCAGGAGACTGAGGCAGGAGAATCACAAGTTTGAGGCCAACCTCAATTACTTAGCAAGACCCTATATCAAAAATTAAAAATTAAAAAATGGCTGGGGAGAGGCTAAGGTTATGGCTCAGTGGTAGAGTGCTCACCTAGCATGCATGAGGCACTGGGTTCTATCCTTGGCACCACATAAAAATTTAAAAAATAAATAATAAAGATATTGTGTCTACCTAAAACTAAAAAATAAATATTAAAAAAAAGAAAGAAAAAAAAAGCCTGGGGATATAGCTCAGTGGGAGAGCACTCCTGTGTTCCATCCCTAGTACCAGAGCAAACACAAAAATACACACGAATAATTCAGAATACAGAAGAGTGTTAGCAGAAGCCAGGGTTTCCCAGATTCCCTTCCTCAAGTGTGTGTCTTTCTAGTTGATGTTTTATTTCAAACTGACTTTAAAACTCATCATTGTAGCCCAGGGCAATAATGCACACCTGTAATCCCAGCAACTCAGGAGGCTAAGAGGGTTCACAAGTTTAAGGCCAGCCTCATCAACTTAACAAAGCCTTCAGCAACTTAATAGCTGTCGCAAAATTTTTTTTTTTTTTTTTTTTTATTAAAAATTAAGAAAGGGCTGGGGACATGGCTCAGTGAGCAAGCCCACCTGGATTCAATCCCCAATACCAAAAAAAAAAAAAAAAAACCACATTAATTAATGTGACTCATTTGATGTGCCCTTATCTTAATTAGTTGTTATTTGTGTGGTGCTGAATCAGTTTGTCCTGGTTAATTGTGAATTATTCCCTGAACTGAAGCCCCTATAAATCTTACTGATATGATAATCCCCTTGGAAATGGTGAACATGGACTGTGTTGCTCTGTTTCAGCTCTGATTTCTGCCCGCCATGCCCTTGTCTTCCCTGCTGATTTGTTTCTGAATCAAGAGAAATGAGGAGAAAAGCACTGTGACTTGAGACGCTCCCCAGGGTGTGTCCTTCTGTGTTCCCTTCATGCTGTCATGTTCCATCATCCTTTCCTTGGAGTGTGAGTGGGGGGAGCATGTGGGAATGTGGCTGGGACCAGAGGGAAGCCTGGCCTGCAGGCTGCACTGCCACCACTCTTCGTGGGCTGTGGCCTGGTGGTAAAGTTGGGCCTTGGCCATGGTACCGCCCTCTGCACTGTTCATCTTTGCAGACTTGTGAAATTCTGCAAGTGGAGGGCTTTCCTACTAAGCCTCCTTGAGGGGATGTCCCCTGGTAGAAGATGGTGAAATGCTGATGGGCAGAGGGCACATAATTCTCTTCAAAGGCTTTAGCAGCAAACCAAAACAGCAAATTAAAGAAGTGCTTCATTGCCTGCGAGTCTAACCTAACATGAGCCCCCTCACTTTTCTGATACTTTATATTATTGGAGACAGTGATTATATTTGGATGTACTAAGCACAAAGCTGAACTTGGGGTTTCTGGAAGTAAAGCCACTTTCCCATCATTTTTCATAAATAGTTATTATTGAAACAGGATGTTCTTTGATTCAGTCACGCTCAATAGGAGCTTTTTGAAAAGAGCAGTCCATGCTTAATGCTCCGAAACGTAGGAGAGTTTCATCTACACTTTTTTCAAAGGACTTTTGTGGAACAAGTTTCCCACCAACTCTGTTTTGCCTTTGTTGCCTAAAATAGACAAAATAGGTTTATATTCATAAACAAACTTCACTCTGACCATTACTTTTATCTCTTTGCTAAGATACCAAGGGCAGCTGGTACAGTTCTCCCTGCGCCCCGTGTCAGGAATCCAGTGGGTTCCCTGGGGTAGCGGAGGAGTATCCTGAATGGCGCTGCTATTTGGATTTTTATTCCACTCCTCTCTAGTCTTGCTATGCTGTTACCAAGAGCCTGAGGAGGGTTGGATCTCTGCTCTCAGGGCCACACAAAGACCGTGTGAGGAGGGAGGTGCAGTGGGTCCTGTGCTGTGATAGGCCAGCCAGTGGCCGTCCTGATGGTGGTAACTTCCCCTGCTGCCTCAGTGTGCGGGGAGTAGAGGGTCCCTTCTGGGCAGGCAGCGGGCTTGTGAGATGAGCAGGAGCACTCTCCTGTGCGTTGCTGCTTGTGTGCAGGTCCTGTGTCACCTTGTCCAGCTTGGGGAGTCAGGCTCCTGCGTGTCCTTGAGACACTGGTTGGGTGTGCCCTGCTGGCCCCTTTCCCTTTGCTTCCCCTCCCTCTCATGGTCGGCTTGTGCCATCTACACGAGGCTTCCTCTGAGCTTCCTTCCTCCTGCCGCTCGTCCTTGGTGACCTTCACAAACCCATGTTAGTCCCTGTCCTACTGCTGTTGGGCCACTAGATCCAGTGACTCATTCTTGGAGCTCAGTCCTGTTCTTGATGGTCGGATGCTGCTGACAGGCATGGTGACATTCCCCTTTCTTGATGTCTGACGTCATCCTTTGCCGTATCCTGTGCTGGTGGGGATGAGGACCTGCAGAGCCAAGTCTCTATGAAAGTCTTTCAGAATTCACCTTTACTTCATCTCTCCTTATCCTTGACCCAGCTGTGTGTTTGTGTGTGTGTCACTGGAGCTGGATTCCTCTCTTATCCCCACCAAGCTGCCCTCCAACTGCCCAGTGTCTTTAATCACATGAACTCCACATCACAAACTTGATTTTTCTTGCTTCCTGTCTTTTAAATCTCCAGCTGATCTCTTTCCATTTTCCTTGTTCCTCTGTCCACACATCCACCCATTTCACTTCTCTGCTGATTTTTTTTTTTTTCCCCATGGACCACCACAATTGGTTCTGTCTATCTTAGAAAGATCAGTACTGGAAACACTCATCTCCAGGGTTCTGGCCTGGTCTGAAGCTTCTGTCTGGACCTCTTGTGGCTTAGAGGGTCAGGTTGTACACGGGTGTCGAGGACTGTGCATGCTGACACCTTCCTCTCTCCACCTCTCACACAGACCAAAGCTCCCGCCTGTGCCTCTGTGCCTTTATTCTTAGTGTGTCCGCATATCCCAACTTCCCATCTTTGTTATTTGGTAAGGTTTTCTCCCTTTCTAAAACCTACCTATCAAATCCCACTGCTCGTATTCTTTCAGACTAAAAAATTCTTCTCACGCTCAAAAGGTGAAGCTATGTGGACTTGCTGCCAACCTTCTGCTTCCCAAAACCACCTTTCTTCCTGCTGTACTCTTCAAAAGCCAACATGTCAAGGTCCCTGCCATCAGTAGCTAGAAAGTTGTGTGAGCCCTCATCTGTCAAAAACAGATGTCAAGATGAAAGGAAACATCTCTGCAAGAAGTAACTGAACTACCCAAGTCCCCAGGAATATCACTGTGCTAGGCAAAAGCAACAGTGTTGAGGGCTGTCTTTCTAGATCATAGAGATCAAGGTGGAACTGAAAGAGGCAACCACACAGGGCAGGGCAGTCAGACATGGGAAAACGTGGGTTGGGTCTTAAGTTTCACCCCTTTTCAGGATGGCTGTCTTTTTGCAAATAGAATATATTGGAAGCATGTTTTCCCGAGCTGGTATGAATGGGGATGACCTATTGAGGGGCCTCAAGCCAGGGGCTGGGGTGGAGCCACAAGAGGCCCCCTGTGGAGATGGCGGTGGGCTTCCTCTGCTGTTAGGAGGAAGGGGCTTCAGTTGTGGATAATGCTATACATTAGGGACTGGACTGTCTAGAGTCTTCAGACATTGAAGATCCAGCTCTCTGGAAAAGCTGAGGCAACTCAGAAAGACCTGACACTTAGCTGCACATACTGACATGTTTTTCCCTGTCTTTTCAACATTTGGTGATAGAACTCTGCCTCGAAAATTCCCAGTGGTGATGCTCATCTTCTTCTCTAGTCCCTGTTCCCATCACATGATGCACCAATTGGGCACACGGGCGTGCACACACCAGCCCTGTGGTTACCCAGGCTGTTCTGAAAGCCCTTGCCAGGAAGCCTGCACTTGGCCATTGCCTTGCTTAAGCAGGAATGTTGGAAAGAGACGTTGAGGCTTCACTTAGCCAGACACCCAGAGCTGAGAGTGACTCACCTCCGCGGTTCCCCAAGTCAGATGTGGATTCTAAGTATTCCAACTTGGAAACCCCTCTGTAATGGGCTTTGATCTGAGCTGCACAGTATTTCAAGCTGCCCACAGAGCCAGGCCCTCACACTCTGATAGGTGTTCATTTAATTCATAAACTATCGGGATAAGTACATGATCAACTATTGAAATTGTTTCCCTTTGTTTGCCCAATGAATAGGTTGTCATGGTTTAGCACTGTTTTATATTTTCAGTTCTTTGTAACTTAATTACATAATTTTATTTTTTTAAATCTTATTTGGTGTATGATATTTTTCAGTACGTTTTAATGAGCTTCTGTAAATGCCATCTCAATGTGGTTTTGTCACTGAATGGAAACCAAAATAAATTTCAGATAATCAAAGCAATGAAACCATTACATTTATTAATTCTGTATTAAAGTGTACTAAAATAAGACCCTTGGTGATTCAGGTAATAAGGGAAAATGGTATCTTTCTTAACCTTTGGCTGAGCATCCTTTACTGACATCAAGAATTCTTGGATTTTACAAAGTTTTCTGAGTGCCATTGTGACCTCATGTGACAAGAAGTCAAAATGCAAAAAAAAAATTGTTCCAAGTATCACAAAATTACTCTTGGTTTGTATATAAGGTATATATGAAACATGAATGCAATTTTTGGCCTGGGGTGTAGCTCAGAGCATTTGCCTGGCATACACAAGACCCTGAGTTCCATCACCAGCACTGCAAAATTAATTGTTTAGACCTAGGTCCCATTCCTAAGGCATCTCATTGTGTACAGATACCCCAAATCAAAAGGGGGGGGGGCATGGGGGGATGAACAACTTGGATATGTACCAGCAAACTATAGGTGTCATCCCTGGGCTTTGCCCACATCCTAGTCCCGACCGACTTTCTACCGCAGCACCACCTATCTGAGCCTCAAACTGTCCACATCAGCAGCCTGGCCACTTGAGGAGTAAAGACATGTCCTCAGAGGTAAGGAAAAGCTCCACTGGAGAAGTGTGTTCAGAAATCAGTGCAATTAGTGCTTTCTGTGTGCAAAGAACTAACAGTGCAGTAAAGGCATTACAGGTGGGTCAGGGCAGGTGCAGGGGCCACTCGTTGTCCCTAAGGAACTACATTATCTTCTTCTGGGCCCGCACTCTTGAGCCGAGATCCTTGAGGTCTGAGTATAGGTTCCGCTTCAGGATGGCACTGCTGCACAGCAGTGCCCCTTGCAGGGCCCCCATCAACCCGCAGGTGAAGACGTCCTGGCCTAGGAGGCAAGAGCACAGACTGTGGGTGTCCACCATGTGAGGAGAGGGAGGCCCAAGGTCACGGATCCTGGCAGAATGGGCAGTGTACCTGACAGGTAGAGGTTGGGGATGGGGCTCTGGGCCCTGATGGAAGCCATCACGTAAGGATGCAGGCGGTCCAGGTCATGGTCGGCCCCATAGGTGGCCCCTCGGGTAGCAGCCAGGAAGAACTGATTGGTCAGTGGGGACCCTCCCGTGGCGCTCTCCACCTAAGGCAGGAGGGAGGGCATGAGTGGGAGCCCCAACAACCTGAGCTCTGCCTCCTGGACGTGGGGTCCTCACCTGCATGCTCACCCTACCTTCCCCTCCAGCTGTGGGAACAGTCTGAGGATCATGGATATGGAGGCTTCAACAAAGGAGCTTTTGAGGGTCTCATAGTCATGGCTTCGCTTCCCTTGCGGCTCCTCCTGCCACTCCTCAAACCACTCGTAGGCAGTAGGTATCAGCACAGTCAGCGTGGACCGGTCTAGGGACGCAGAGCAGGGTTACTGCTGTGCAGTCCCACCCACCGCTGACCCAGGCAGCTTCACAATATGGACCTACCTGGGAAGCGGCCTGGCCAGGTCGGGTCCTTGCTTGAAGGGGAAGCAACAAAGTAGAGGGGTATGTGTTCCACAGCCTTCTCCCTGGGCATGGAGATGTAGCGCTCCATCCTGTGGGGAGAGGAGTGTGGCTGCAATGCCAGGCCTCGCCTCAAAGCCTCCACTCGTCCCCAGGACCTCCTCGGGAATGAGGCTAGGCACATTGCCATGTGAACCTTCTAGGAGCACGCTGGAATGGCCTACTGACTGCTCATCCTAGTGTCCAGGCAGGAAGCCCCAGTGGGTTGACAGCCCAGCCAACACCTGTCCCCGCATGCACACAGGGCCCCCCGTGGGTTGATGGCCCAGCCAATGCCTGTCCCCCCACTGCACACAGGGTCCCCGTGGGTTGACGGCCAGGCTGACCCTATGCCCACATGCACATGCTTACGCCTTATCCATGTTGATGTCGAAATAAACATAGTAGTTGGTGGACTGCAGACCCAACTCCTCCTTGGTCCCGTGCAGGCAGATGAAGACAGAGAACATGCTCAGGCCTGGCCGCACCATCTGCAGCTGTTGCTGCACACCTGCCGGACAGAGCAGGTGGAACTGTGGACAGACACAGGCATTCCCCGCTCCAGACATCTGCAGCCCATTCCTCGGCTGCCAGCGAGGAGAGGGTCCAGGCCTTTCTGCCTGCTCACCTGCCCCTGCCTGTGTCCCACACGGCCTCAGGCTCCAGCTCTGCCCAGTTGAGCCCAGCCCTTAGCTGCCACTGGTTTGCAGCACCTGCAGGACAGTGGATCTGACTGCTCCATCACCCCTTCAGTCTAAGTGAGGAGGAGATGACAACTTACAAAGACTACACAAACAGTAGTTTGTCACAGCCTTACTGTCAGTATATAACACAGCTATCTAATGAAAACAGTGGTAGTCCCCATGTGCTCTGTCACTAGACCTCGAGATGACAGGCAGTGCATGTGATTGGAAGACAAACAGCATTAGCTCAGCATTCAACTGCAAGGCACCCCAGACCTAAGCCACTGGGCTTCCCCTCTCAACAGATGATCCCAGACCAGTTTTTAGAAACTGTACCCACAATTCTTATCCATTACCTCCAGACCCGTCTCCAGCAGCTGTGTGAGAGCTCAACCACTGCTGCTCTGCCTCTTCCGTGAACAAGGATTGGCTGATGCCCTAACATGTACTGGGCCCTGTGGAGCCAACCCTGGCACACAGCAGTGACAGGAGGCCCATTTGCTGGGAAGAGACTTTCCTGGAGGAACCATGTGCTGAGGACAGGGACAGAGAGGGAGGCGCTATTGACAGCCATGGCAGGACACCCAGTTCTCGGGGCGCACAGGAGACACAGAACGTGGGCTTCCACAGCTGCAGTCACCTAGGTCCTATATCCAGGTTGGGTATAGGCAGGCATGGAGGAGAGCCCCTGTCTCCAGAAGCCCCTCAGAATAGCCTCTCTCCCCAGCTGGAAGGAAGAGGCTGAGGAGCCAGACCCTTCCCTCTGGACCACCCCAGTGTCTCCTGGCCTCTATAGGTGGAAGAAAGGCCTCCCCATCCCTGAAGGATCCACTGCCAGGTCCAGCAATTCCACTCCTGGTCTAGCTGGCCCCTCCTGCCCCAGAGGCCACCAGATATCTGTCTCCTGTCTGAAAGGCATACCAAAAAATCCCCACCCCAAAGAGCTGGGAAGAAGGAGCACCACCCAGCTCCTAGAGCAGGCAACTGGGTTCATCTGGGGCAGTCTCTGACCCTGCACCCAAGAGGCCGAGTGCCCAAGCTAGCTGGTGTGCCCTGGACTGTTCAGGACTAGGATACATGCCGGGCAAGACCTGCTATGGGGCTGGCAGCCTGGAGAGGAGCAGGGGGACCTGGGGCCTGTCAGGGCAGAGTCCTAAAAGAGGAGGAGGCAAGGCCAGTCTGTCCAGCCAGGCCAGGCCCCACTGCCCTGCCCTGGGCAGTCCCTATCATGCCCCACTCAATTCATCCTGAGACACAACTGCCAGCAGATACCAGCTTGGTGACACCCATCTGTTGTGGGTGGCGGTTTTTAGGACCCAAGGGTGCTCAGCCACATCCCGGCACTTTTTTTTTTTTTTGAGACAGGGTCTCACTAGGTTGCTTAGGGCCTTGCTAAATTGCTGAGGCTGGCTTTCACCTTCTATCCTCCTGCCTCAGCCTCCAGAGCCACTGGGATCACATGCCCAGCTGCTGTGGTTTTGATAAGTATCCCCCAAGGCTTGGTCACCAGTCTCTGGTGCTACTGGGAGGTGGCTCAGCCTTGAGGAGGTGGGCCCAGTGGGAGGGAGTTAGGTCACTGGGTGTCTTTGAAGCATACATGGGACTCCAGCCCCTTTCCCACTCTTTGTTTTTTCTGGTACTAGGGATTGAACCCAGCCAGGAGTGTTTAATCACTGAGATATATCCACAGCCCCCCTTTTTTATATTATTATTATTATTTTAGATGTTGACAGACTTTATTTTATTCATTTTATTTTTATGGTGCTGAGAATCGAACCCAGTGCCTCACACATGCTAGGCAAGCTCTCTGCCACTGAGCCACAGCCCCAGCCCTTCCACAGCCCTTTTTATATTTTGTTTTGAGACAGGGTCACTTAGGGCCTTGCTAAATTGCTGAGGCTGGCCTCAAACTTCCCATCCTCCTGCCTCACCTCCCAAATTGCTAGGATTGCAAGTGTGCACCACCATGCCTGGCCTTCTCTCTCTCTCTGGTTCCTGGCAGCCATGAGGTAGAACGGTCTCCCCCCAACACACCCCACAATGTGACATCCTGTGCCACCACAGGCCTAAAACAACTGGGCCAACTGGGCCCACAACCGACACCTCTGAAACCATGAGGCAAAGCAGATCCTTTTCTCTTTTTAAATTGATCACCTCAGGTATTTTATCACAGTGACAGAAAGCTGCACGCCACTTTAACTCTTAGAGACAGTACAACTATCACCCCCCCTGTCCTCCCCAGGAGACCCAGGACCACACTGTTCTGCCAAACCACTGCTCAGCCTCCCTAGCACAAACCTAGAGTGGACAGCCCCATCCCCACCACCACGAACTCCATCCCAGCCAGTCAGGGCCACTCTGTCCTTCCCACCTCTTGCCCCTGCCAGAGGCCTTTGTCATCTCTCCTGAGTGACTTGTCCCCTCTGGCCAGCAACCTCCATTCCCTTTGTCACACCAAGCTGCAAGTCACATGCTGTCCTGACGGTGACTTCCCATCTCAGCACTCCATATATCCCGTCCCTGCAGGGACTGCCCAGAGCTTGGCTCTCCCTTTGAGGCCAGGCTCCTCACGGCTCTGGCACTCGGCTGGGCGGCAGAGGGAGGGGGTCGGTCTCCTGTCAGGGCCTCCACCTCCTCAGCCACAGACAAGGGGATGATGCTACAGCTCAGAGTTCTTATCTGCTGAGACAGTCAGAGAGGGGCATCACCAGGCTGAGCATGTCCATGCCAGAGCCTGGAGCAGTAGAGCAGCCGTACCTGACAGACAGCGGGCACTCTCCGGCAGTAGGTGCTCATAGGTGTTGAACAGGCCTGCACTGGAGACCACAGTGGGGCAGTAGATGTCCACCAGCTCTTGTCCCTTCTTCACACGGACACCTGCAGCACAGGAGCTTGGATGAGGCTCTGTGAGCTCCAGGAGGAGACCTCGACAGGTCTGGCCTACACTCCATCTCCTCAGAACTGGGAGTCCAGCCTGCTGAGAGCCAGGCAGGGAGGTGACCACAAGCATTCCACCTCTGCCACAGTCGCTTTTGTGCTGACCCGCCTGGCTCCCTCCACACGGCAGATTAGCTTTCCTGTGGCCAAGCCCCCACTCATCCCCAGCACACCAACTCTCAGGCCCCTTCACTGCTGCTGGAGGCAAGTGCCCTAAACACTCCCCACTGACACCTCCTCTGAGCCTTGTGATCTGGTCCCTCCGTGTCCAGCCCCATCTCTGCCTCTCATTTGGCTAATATGTAGAACTAGGCCCACAGCCGACACCCTGACACCCGCTGCTCAGCAGCCCACCATCAGTCACCCAGCAGGTTCTGAAGATGTGAAGACAGACAACTGCTGTCCTGGCTACTGGACAGCAAGTTTGAGCCCACTAAAGGCAACACTGTGAGATCTCGACTCAAAAAAAAAAAAAACATAAAGAAGATACAGCCTTGGGCTAAGGACATAGCTCAGAGTAGAGCACTTGCATAGCAGGTGCAAAGCCCTGGGCTCAGTCCCCAGTACCACTAAGAGAAAATGACAGCCCCTACAATCAAGAAGGTGGTCACAGAACACTGGATAAATACTTTTATCTATCAAATAAATAATTCAGAATGGCTCTTTGGAGCCCACGTGGCCCTTTCCATGCCAGACTCATCACTCTGCTACCCGCCACGCTCTGCAGCACACCTGGCCCCTCAGCCTGCAGAAGGTGGGTTCCTTTGTGCCTTCTGCCCTCGGGGACCCCGGAGCTCACAGCACAGCTCTCACCACAGGCTTTCCCAGCTGAGTCCAACAACACAGTCTGCACAGTGGCCTTTGTGAGGACAGCGCCCCCGGCTTGCTTAATCACAGGGATGATATGAAAGGCGATTTCACTGGAACCCCCTCGGGGATAAAAGGCCCCCTGTAGGTAGTGGTTGACCAGCAGAGCATGCATGGAAAAGGTGGTACGGCTGGGGGTCACACCTGCAGGAAGAGGGGAGGAGGGTTATGAACAGGTACCAGGACCACTCAGAAAGGAGCAACACACCACCAGAGTCCATCACAGGACCCAAGGCTCCTAGGGGCTAGGGCCACCGCAAGAGCCATCTCCATCCCACCGGGAGCCTTACAACCTAGGGGCCAGTAAGAAGGTACTGCCTGCAAACTAGCATGTCACCAACACCAGGAGCCTGGTGTTGGCTAACAGAAAAATCACCCAGGGAATGGTTGAAGGGGACTTGCACAGCAGCACAAGCTGCAGAGGGCCAGGCCATTCTGGTCCGTTTGTCAGCCAGGCAGGTTCAGGAAGAAGACAGAGACCAGAAGGCGGGAGCCTCTTGTCCAGGAACAGCACAGCCTGCAGCCAGCACGCACCATAGGTGGGGAAAATGTAGCTGAGCACGGCCTGGAGCTCAGGGGAGGCCCCCAGCTGCTGCAGGACCTCAGCCAGGCTCTGGGTGGACGCATGCAGGAATGGAGAAAACCGAGTCAGCAGCCCACACTTGCTGAGGAGCTGGGCCAAGCGCAATGGGAGGAACTTCAGCAAGAGGGCGTGAGTGGCTCCATCGGCTACCACCTGGGAAAGAAGACAAGTGTGGGACCAGGCCTAGCTCTGGGACAGCTGACACACCGTCCCTTCCAATAGCTTGCACCAGCTGAGGGCCAGCAACACTTACCCTTCGTTGAACATTGCTGAATTTGGACTTTAGTTTTAATTTACTTTAAAAATATTTATTTTTGGTAGCAGGAATTGAACACAGGGACACTCAACTACTGAACCATATCCTCAGCCCTATTTTATATTTTACTTAGAGTCAGGATCTCACTGAGTTGCTTAGCACCTCACTTTTGCTGAGGCTGGCTTTGAACTAGTGATCCTCCTGCCTCAGTCTCCCTAGCCACTGGGATTACAGGCATGTGCTATCATGCCCTGCTTCAAGTCTTTCATTTTATTTGTTTTTTGTGTGTTTGCAGTGCTAAGGATTGAACCCAGAGGTGCTCTATCACTGAGCTACACCCCAGGGCTTTTCCGTTTTGAGACAAGATCTCAATGAGGCACATGCCTGTAATCACTGCAATTCTAGATGTTTAGGCCAGAGGACTGCAAGTTTGAGGCCAGCCTGGGAAACTTAGCAAGACTCAAAATAAAAAATAAAAAGGGCTGGGGATGTAGCTCAGTGGTAGGGTACCTCTGCCCATATTTATGTATGTATAAATAAATATATATAAATAAGCAAATAACAGGTCTTGCTAAGTTGCCCAGGCTGATCTTGAACAGGGGATCCTCCTGTCTCTGTCCCCCAGCACCATAGCTGGGGTTATAAGTATGCACCACTGCATCCAGCCTGAATTGGGTGGGGGGACTCTGTACTCTAAATATTCCTTTCCTGCACACTCAGATGAGGCTTTTCTGCTTATAAATTTCCTGGTCAAATTCCTTTTCAGAAATCCCATCTGGTCTTAGAAGAAATAAAAAGGAGTAGAGATCTATCACCTGCAAGGCAGCATAGCCAGGAGAGCAAAGTGCCCTCCAGAGGCCAGGGTGGGTGTGGCATCCACAAGCCCTCCTCCTGGCCCTTGGGGCCACCCACTCCAGCCACTCCCCTGCTCAGGTACTCCACTAATGAGGAAGATCAGTCTTGGGAATGAACTGGGTCCTGAACAAGTCCAAGTTACCTTCACCAGCTTTATGTACTTGTCGATGACATCTTTTTCCTGGGGAAACTTCTCCTTGAGGCCTTCAATGTATGCTTTCTTCCCGCTGTACATGGGGAACTCCTTTCGGCCACTGGGCATGTCTAGTACCACTGTGTCAAAAGGCGAGGACAGAGAAGCCCAGTCCAGCTGCCCTTCAGTAATCTGGTCCAAGATAAAGCGGCCAAAGGTGCCCTCCTCCATGTGCCCAATATAATGGATCCCTGTTGGGAGGTGGAAAGACAAGGTGGCTCAGGGATAATGGGACTAAGCCTTGGGAAGAGGACGAGAAAGTGAAGGGGAAAAGGTGGACCAGAACCACTGCTCCTCCTTCCTGCAGAGAGGTGGCAGAGCAGACCCACCACATCAGACGGTATGGCTGAAGACAAGGAAAGTGGTGCTCAGAAAGAAGATGGCACCTGTAGGACAGAGAAATGTGTCCCCCAAGCACTGATCCCAGCCCTGTTCCACACAAGCCTCACCTGTGTCAAACTCAAGGCCATTTTTGCCAAAGGTATGACAACAGCCCCCTGCCTTGGTGTGCTGCTCCAAGACCAGGACTCGCTTGCCAGCTTTCGCCAGAATCGCAGCTGCAGCCAGGCCCCCAATGCCACTGCCAATCACCACCACATCCAGGTTCTCTGGCACTTGACTTGCTGAGAAAACTGCAGCAGAAGGGAGGAGGAAGAGGGTGGGCTTCTCAGATAGGGGCAGGAAAATGGCAAAGACAGAGAAACCAAAGAAGACTCCTCTAGCCTGGACTGCGAGAAAACTTAGAGCGGTTTAGCATGTTGCTGTTGACTAAGGTTTCTAAATTCACCTAGGAATACTCATAACCAGCCAGCGATTTGCATTGTCTGAACTAATTTAACCACAACCACTACATACCTGTGGATTTTTACAACTTTGAAAGAAAGTAGAAATCAGTTAACTACAGAAACAAAAAGAGAAAGAGGATAACAAGTGGATACACCTCAGTGTAGACACTTCTGAGGAAGCAAGAGCCAGGAAAGAAAGAAAATGGAGTGGGGGATGGGGAGAATGCTAGAGGGCAGGCTGGCAGCTCCAGGAACCAGCCATTCACAAGCTGGGTTTCTTCGGATGATGTAGGGTCTGCAAATGCCACCAGAGCAGCTGGCGTGCATGTGGTTCTTCCAGATCCTGATTCAGAGGCTCAGCAGGACAGAGCTGCCCTGAGCCTACTGCTCTGAGAAATCACAGCACCACCCCCTACACTGGGAAGAAGAGGGGAACACCTTAAGAGGAACAATTTGTGCTAATGGGCACTTGCATATACATCTAATCTAAAAATCGTGCCTAGTGCCAGGCACAGCAATGCACAACTGTAATCACAGCTAATCAAGAGGTTGAAGCAGAAGGATCACAAGTTCCAGGCCATATAAAGTACAAAGGGCTGGGTATGTTGTTCAGTAGTAGAGCAGTTGCCTAGAATGTAAAGCCTAAATTCAATCCTACTACCCTCCCACACACACACAAAGGAAAGAAAGACAAAAAGTATTGTCTGACTGTAGCAAGTTTGGTCACAGAGGGAAAAAAATCTATAAGCAAGAGCGCCGCTGGAGATCAAACAATATTTTGGGGTTTTTTTGTTCGTTTTGTTTTTTGCTTATTTTTTCCATCGAAACTCTCTCTAACCTTGCAGGTATCCCCACTTGAGTTTCACATCGAATGCAGGTGCTGGTGGACTAGAGCAGTGGGCTCAGAGCTGAGAAACCCTATTGAGCCTCTCCCCAAGTTCAGAATCCAGAGTCAGTTCTATAAGCTGGGGCCATGCCTACCCCGTCCAATCCCTTGGCCTGCAAAAGCCATTTCCTCTTGCAATGGGGAGAGGTTTCTGTGCGAGCCCGCACAGGGTAAGCTGGGGTCAGAGAGCCAAATCGGGGAAAGGATGCAGGGCAGGGCATCGCCGGCCATGACAAGTCCTGGGCAGTGCCAAGACAAGGACAAGCCCTCGGGCAGCAGCTTCCCGGCTTGCAAGGGCAAAGTCATCACCGCGCACCCACGAAAACGGGCCCCACTCCAAGGAAGCCTCCCGGTACTTTATCACGGGGAAACTGAGGCCAGCCCAGGTCGCGAGGCCGCCGAGCGCAGCGCGGACCCCTGGTCCGGCTGACCTTGCTTAAGGACCCTTTTCCTGGCCTCCTTGTCGGTCACCAGGGGCGCGGGCGGCCGCTTGACGTCCTGCGAGAAGGGGTTCGGGGAGCGCCCGGCGAACAGCCCCAAGTAGACACGGCGGACGCCCGCGAGCAGCAGCAGCACCAACAGCAGCACCAGGGAGAGCCACATCCCGACGGCTCACAGAAGTCTTGGCGGAAACGACGCGCACAGCTTTTAGGGCCCGTCGCGCCGCACTCGGGTCCCGGGACTGAGGCGGCTCTGACCACGCCCAGAGCGGGTTGGACTTCCGGCCCCCGGTAAAGGCCTGGCCGCGCGCCGAGCTCGCCGCTTAACCGGAAGGGCGGCTCGCAGCCGAAGCGGCGTGCGCCTTCGCGGAGCAGACCGAGGGCGCCGCTTGGGGCGCGCGGACCCCGGTGAGCGGGCGGCGCTGAAAGGAGGCCGGGCCGTGGGGCCGCGCACGGCCGGGAGGCGCGCACCCTGACCGAGGCCGGAGCCGACGGGCTCGGGGACCGAGGCCAGGGCCCGCCGCCCGCGAGCAGACGCCGAGCCCGACCAGGCGGCCTGGCCGAGGGCGCCGTGAGCCGCCTGCCCGGGCCCTCCTGCGCACCGCAGGGCGACTCGCCCCGTGTACCGCCGCCTGCAGGCCAGGGAGCGAACCCGCCCCGCGGCGCGGGCCTAGGGGACTAGCCGAGTTCCTAGGGGCCGTGCGATGGGCGTCCGCGACGTCCAGTCACGCCTGAGGTCGGCGCCGTGAGGTGACCGCGGTGGTGCAGGGCGTGCCGCAGGTGGCCGTGGCTGCTTTGGAAAGTCCACCCCCCCCGGGGGCCGGACCAGGCTTTGTCAGACCCGACACGACCCGTGCTGGGAACGAAGCAAAGCTGAGGCTCAGAGCCGGGGCCGCCGGCGCTCCGCTCCTGGGTTAGCTGGCCCGGTCCCCAGAGCCGCAGGTCCAGAAGTCACCCCAGCCCAGAGCCGTGTCGCCACCCTCCACGCGCCGAGGTCTGTCCCCGCCTCTCCACCGGTGGCCCGGGTCGTAGGAGGCTGTCTCTGGCGGCTCATTTATTCAAATAAATTCACATCTGCTTAAAGATTTTAAGTCTCTTTTTTTCTCAGTAGAGGCATAACTGAACCAAGAGGCTAGCTTTCTCTTCTGTGTTTTGCAGAGCCGAGGCATCACAGCCTCAGAGACTTCTTCAGGACTCACAGAAACCAGCGACGCCCTGGTGATGGCACAGTGGGACTGTTTTCTTCCTCCGGGTCTGAATGAGCGCAGGGAGGAGAGCCAAGGTAGAACCGGCGGACCTCTGGCTGTCCTGTAGCATCATCAGACCTCCGGGAACCCCTTTTTGAGCCCAAGACAAAGCTCGCGTGAACAAATGATTTTGAGTCATGAATGAAAAATTTTGCTCTTTCTATAATGAAAAAGAATTAAAAGACGGGCAGGTAAGCATGCCTTTGGGGAAAGAAGATGTCGGTTACAGATATGTTGTTAATAATGAGACAAGATATCAAAAGAATGTGAAGTTTTAGAAATACTTAGGGAAAAAAATCTCATAGCTTTTTGTCCTGTTAAAGGAGATCCTGGGCTGGGGTGTTGGTCAGTGACAGAGTGTTAAACTAGTATGCAGGAGGCCCAGGGTTCCCTCTGCAGCACTGCAGAAAAGGAGATTCTGTTCACCTCTGCATCATCTGCCTTTCCTGAAAACTTGATTTCTAAGTGGCTTATGAAAGTTTATTTTTGTTTGCTTGGGTTGGGAGAAAATTTCATTGAGAAATCCCCCAAGAAGTCTGCAGCTCATCAGTATGACATACCTTACTGTCCTCCTCCCTGTCAAATACTGCTTGCCTGATTATCCTCAGGCCTCTTGGTTCACTGTGCTGTATCTTCCTTGGGCTTGACAGCGAATCCTGCATTCTGTACCTTTCCTTCCACCTTATCTCCAGAAGAAATGGTCTTCAATTTAGCTTGTGGGATTCAGTGGCCAGAACAAGGACACAGTTTTGCTTTGAAAATCTAGGAAAGTTTCCCCACTGTAGGAAGACAGGTGAGCTGTTCTTCCAGAAGGAGGTCTCTGGACATAGAGGTGCCTAAAGTGTAGAGGAGAAAGGACAGGGTGAATCCTGGGTATGTAGACTCCTGCAGGGAGTTGTTTAGCATCATGAATCACAAAATTTTTTTGAAGCAAGATTTCTTTTTTTTTTAATCTTTATTTATTTAAGTGAAGCAAAATTTGAAGAAAAAAATTTAGTTACATATTTCATACCTTTGTGCTGTGTTAAGAGGTGTGGGATCAGACACAATGGCACACACCTATAATCCCCAGCAACTCAAGAGGCTCAGACGGGAAGATCGTAAGTTCAAGGATAGCCTCATCCACTTAGTAAGGTCTTGTTTCAAAAGAGCTGGAGATGTAGCTCAGTGGCTAAGCATCCCTGGGTTCAGTCCCTAATTCCAAAAAAAAAAAAAAGAGGGCAGGGTGGCAGGGAAGCATCAAAGAAATGTAAGAGAAGATCCCTGTGTGGGCCTTTTACTGGGAACTTTGTGCAAGGGCCAGAGGAGAAGTAAGGCACCATTATAGCCCCAATTGGTGAAGCAGGCCACTGAGACACTAGAACCCAGCTGGAAGGGATACCGAAGGCAGAGGTGGGGTATATTCTGCACAAAAACCAGTCGGATCAAGGGTCGAAGGTCAGGAGAGCAACTGCTACAAGTGTGTTGGCTGGGTTGCTCTGGACAGTGACACATTGGACACAGGCCAGTTTTTTGTTTTTTTTTTTTAATTTTTTTTATTGTTGGTTGTTCAAAACATTACATAGTTCTTTTTTTTTTTTTTAATTTTTTATTGTTGGCTGTTCAAAACATTACATAGTTCTTGATATATCATATTTCACACTTTGATTCAAGTGGGTTATGAACTCCCATTTTTACCCCGTATACAAATTGCAGAATCACATCAGTTACACATCCATTGATTTACATATTGCCATACTAGTGTCTGTTGTATTCTGCTGCCTTTCCTATCCTCTACTATCCCCCCTCCCCTCCCCTCCCCTCCTCTCTTCTCTCTCTACCCCCTCTACTGTTATTCATTTCTCCCCCTTGTATTATTTTCCCCTTTCCCCTCACTTCCTCTTGTATGAAATTTTGTATAACCCTGAGGGTCTCCTTCCATTTCCATGCAATTTCCCTTCTCTCTCTCTTTCCCTCCCACCTCTCATCCCAGTTTAATGTTAATCTTCTTCTCATGCTCTTCGTCCCTACTCTGTTCTTAGTTACTCTCCTTATATCAAAGAAGACATTTGGCATTTGTTTTTTAGGGATTGGCTAGCTTCACTTAGCATAATCTGCTCTAATGCCATCCATTTCCCTGCAAATTCTATGATTTTGTCATTTTTTAATGCAGAGTAATACTCCATTGTGTATAAATGCCATATTTTTTTTATCCATTTGTCTATTGAAGGGCATCTAGGTTGGTTTCACAGTCTTGCTATTGTGAATTGTGCTGCTATGAACATCGATGTAGCAGTGTCCCTGTAGCATGCTCTTTTTAGGTCTTTAGGGAATAGACCGAGAAGGGGAATAGCTGGGTCAAATGGTGGTTCCATTCCCAGCTTTCCAAGAAATCTCCATACTGCTTTCCAAATTGGCTGCACCAGTTTGCAGTCCCACCAGCAATGTACAAGTGTACCCTTTTCCCCACATTCCTCGCCAGCACTTGTTGTTTGATTTCATAATGGCTGCCAATCTTACTGGAGTGAGATGATATCTTAGGGTGGTTTTGATTTGCATTTCTCTGACTACTAGAGATGGTGAGCATTTTTTCATGTACTTGTTGATTGATTGTATGTCCTCCTCTGAGAAGTGTCTGTTCAGGTCCTTGGCCCATTTGTTGATTGGGTTATTTGTTATCTTATTGTCTAATTTTTTGAGTTCTTTGTATACTCTGGATATTAGGGCTCTATCTGAGGTGTGAGGACTAAAGATTTGTTCCCAGGATGTAGGCTTCCTATTTACCTCTCTTATTGTTTCTTTTGCTGAGAAAAAAACTTTTTAGTTTGAGTAAGTCCCATTTGTTGATTCTAGTTATTAACTTTTGTGCTATGGGTGTCCTATTGCGGAATTTGGAGCCCGACCCCACAGTATGTAGATCGTAGCCAACTTTTTCTTCTATCAGACAGCGTGTCTCTGATTTGATATCAAGCTCCTTGATCCATTTTGAATTCACTTTTGTGCATGGCGAGAGAAAGGGATTCAGTTTCATTTTGTTGCATATGGATTTCCAGTTTTCCCAGCACCATTTGTTGAAGATGCTATCCTTCCTCCATTGCATGCTTTTAGCCCCTTTATCAAATATAAGATAGTTGTAGTTTTGTGGATTGGTTTCTGTGTCCTCTATTCTGTACCATTGGTCCACCCGCCTGTTTTGGTACCAGTACCATGCTGTTTTTGTTACTATTGCTCTGTAGTATAGTTTGAAGTCTGGTATCGCTATACCGCCCGATTCACACTTCCTGCTTAGCATTGTTTTTGCTATTCTGGGTCTTTTATTTTTCCATATGAATTTCATGATTGCTTTCTCTATTTCTACAAGAAATGCCGTTGGGATTTTGATTGGCATTGCATTAAACCTATAGAGAACTTTTGGTAATATCGCCATTTTGATGATGTTAGTTCTGCCTATCCATGAACAGGGTATATTTTTCCATCTTCTAAGATCTTCTATTTCTCTCTTTAGGGTTCTGTAGTTTTCATTGTATAAGTCTTTCACCTCTTTTGTTAGGTTGATTCCCAAGTATTTTATTTTTTTTGAGGATATTGTGAATGGAGTGGTTGTCCTCATTTCCATTTCAGAGGATTTGTCGCTGATATACAGGAATGCCTTTGATTTATGCGTGTTGATTTTATAGCCTGCCACTTTGCTGAATTCATTTATTAGCTCTAATAGTTTCTTTGTAGACCCTTTTGGGTCTGCTAGGTATAGAATCATGTCATCTGCAAATAGTGATAATTGACACAGGCCAGTTTTGAGGGGAGGGGGTTCTGGTCAGCCGTGATATGCCTGGGTTGCCATTTTTTTTTTTTTTTTATTAAAGGCATAGGGCTGGGGTTGTGGCTCAGTGGTAGAGTGCTTGCCTGGCATGTGTGAGGCACTGGCTTCAATTCTCAGCACCACATAGAAATAAATAGAAGGCCAACAACAACTAATAAAATATCTTTAAAAAAATAAAAATAAAGGCATAAACACGAGTTTATTTAGGAA